AGTCTAAATCTTAGGTCTCCTCACCTTGTGATTCTAGTAGATTTCCGTACTCATCCTGGGTCTAATACTTTTATAATTGAAGACTTTGAATAAATGGGACTTTGGGCGCCCTGAGCCACATTCTAATTCAAGTGCAACTAAACCAAATATGCAGGACTTTCACCAGGATGATCTCAAACAGTTCTGCAACCCTTAGCTAAAAAACTCCATCCAAACGCTAAAAACATGTTAAGTGAAAGAAGTCAGACATCAATGACCACATATTACATGATCCCGTTTATATGAAATGTTCAGAAAAGGCGAATACAGACAAACAGAAAGTAGATTACTGCTTACCAGGAGCTGCAAGGAAGTGGAATGATAATGATTACTTAATGGGTCTGAGGTTTCTTTTCAGGATGATGAAAAACAATCTGGAATTTAAGGGTGGTTGCTGGGATCAGTGGTGCAGGCATGTAATTCCAGCGGCTCAGGAGGCTGAGGTGCTGAGGGCCATTGCTAAGTAAGAATGACACATGGCAATTTATTTGTCGGCCTACCCAATGTTGCTTAGAGGAAGGACTCTCCATATTGACCCAGGTCATTTGCAGTGTCATTGTAAGGTGACCTTGCTCAAGGACCAGGGCGGATCCGGGTTTAGGGCAGATGGGGGTTTAGGGCGTTCCCGGTTTAGGACAATCCGGGTTTAGGGCGGTTCCAGGTTTAAGGTGTACCCTGCTGGGAATAGGGCGTATCCTGCTGCCTCAGGCACGCCTGCTCCTTGAGTTCCCGTTGAGTTCTCCTGGGATTCAGAGAGTATTTGGGATTTGGCCCAGAACGTGATTGGGGCCCAGAACGTGAATTCCCCCAGAACGTGTGTGTAGAGTGCCGGTGTGAGTTCGGGAATAAAGAATTGCTGTTTGAATCTACAAAGCTGTGAGTGGCTCGTGATTTTGTGCCCAGCCAGACTGTGGCACTGAGGCAGCAAGACTGCTGGTTCAATGGCAGTTTCAGCTGTGGCTCAGGGATTAAATGCCCTGAGTTCAATACCAAGTACAAAATAAATAAATAAATAGCACACACACTGATGATGGTTGCACAACATTGTGAATAGACTAAAAAAATCACTAAACATTTTGTACATTTTAAAATGGTTAAGATAGTGAATTTTATGTCATGTGATTTTTATTTATCTCAAGTGAGTTTAAAACAAACTTATCTGGCCTATGCTAATGAAGGTAAGAGACAGAGCAATCAGATGGGTGGGCGGGAACTGACTAAAGAGTTGCTCCATCCTGAGCTCTACCTGGGGCAGGAACCTGCCTCATCTCTGGTCATTTCCAGCCAAGTAAAGGAGTTTCCCGAGAAACAAGCTACAAGTTGACATACGCCTCATGGAACTCAGGGGCTGGAGTCCGAGTCTCCTCTGAAGATATTTTTGGAGACAAATATTTTGGAGACCATAGTTTTGGAGACATAGTATGAGTGAGAGATCTCATTCCATAGCAAATCTTGGGCAATTTAGAAAAACCTGCTGGAGCAGGCCTCGAGAAGGACAGGCTGCTGGGGCACTTCCAGAACTGGTGGGCAAAGCTATTTATTTCCTGACTTAAGCCAAAGTGTCCCTGGGTTTAAAAGAAGGGTGGGGAGGGAGGGACTAGCTATTAGCTGGTATCCAAATTACAGATTGCAGGATACTTGCTAAGATCAATCACTACAAAAAAATGTGGAAGTCCTTCATAGCATAAAAATTCTATTAAGGTGTTCATTATTGGTTAAGATGACTGAGAATTGTCAAACTAGTGCTGTAACAATTTCTTGTCTCATATTTCTGATTCCTTAAGTCTTGGAATATAACCTAAGAAATTCTGGAAATCACAGACCTGAAAGAACCCCTGAGATTTCATTTAAATCACTGCCTCTGTTCCAAACACAGAAAGATGTTCACATGACCACACCTGCCCTAGTACATCAGATCCAAAATCATGCCCGGTGTCAATTTACTTTCTATTATCCATTAGAGTCATTATCAAATGGTCAGAATACCAGTAGCTTATACCATGTGGAAGAGGGCTGAGGAATAGCTCTCTGTCCTATTTTAAACTCCTGGAAAGGCAACTTGACCATCTGTCTTAGTACCCATTCAGGTTTGGAACCACTCTGGCAATAACATTCTTATTCTGTTTTATCTAAATCCTTCAAATGAAACCTTAAGGTTATTTCAACTCCATTTTTTAATAATTTGAAACAGTTGTTTACCATTTGGTTGGCATGAACATGAAAATGAAATAATGTATGTTGAACACACAACCCAGAGTCTGGCATGTAATCATGGCCCAATATATATTTATTACCATCACTATATTCATTATGACTCTGTCATTCACAAGTGACACAACACACCTCAAAATCATTTAGGCAAAAAGAAGAGAGGGAGGCAAAAAGAAGAGAATGTAATCAAATAAGAAGTATAAGTGTTTTCGGGCACTACTGGATCCAGGATCAAAATAAGGGGACTCTCACCAGAGGCCAAACCGATAGGGCTGCCTGATTTTGGACTTTCAGCCTCAAAGAAAGTGAACTAAATAAAACTCTGTTCTTTATATAGTACAGAGCCTCAGATATTTTGTTATAGTGATAGAAAACAGACTAGTATAAAGGCAATCTGTTAGAAAAAAAGATGAAGAAGGTTAAAAAGATTCACCAGAAAGATAAAAATAAAATAAGAACATATTTATATCATTATTGAGGTCAAGTCAGTTTTCTTTTCTCCAACTTTAATAAACCCACCTCTTTCATATCTCGCTTCCCATTAACAGGTGGGGAACCCAATTATCAGTTCTTCCAATGATTAAACAGCCTTGTCTGTGGATTTTGAGTGCATTTAGTTTACTTATGTTGTGCAATTACTGCATGTTTCCATGGTATGCCTTCAGCTATAATAACATAACCTTCTGTTTCCATTTTTAAAGTCATTTATTCTTCTTACAGCGTTTTTGTATTAAACACAGGTCTTTCTCCTATTTCATGGTTTTCTCTGAATGGGCTGTTACTCAGGAAAGTACTGCAAAAACCTGGTCATTTGTTAGTCATTTAAAAAGTACTCGAGCACTGTGAGTAATTTTACTTCTGTTTTTTGGTTAACTATGTTAATCCTATAAAAACAAAGAACTAGAGACCAAATTTTTTGAAAACTCCAGGGGGTGTGACCTATTAGAAGAAAACCTCAACCTCTGCCTCTCCTCTGGAAGTGAAGAATGGTTTCATGAAGCATTTCAGGCTGCATTCTTGTGATAAAATTCAACTTTCCATGAAACTGAAATTAATCTGAATCAAATTGCCCTCACTTGAAAACACTTTGAATTTACCAGTGCTATTCTGGGTTTATTCCACAAACAGTTAAGTAAACAATGCACATGACTCCATTTAAATTAGGCACTGGCCTCTAAGATTTGTGCTAGCACACCAATTCATTGATACACAACTTTTCACTAAACTGAAGGTTGTTTGAATGTGGGGTGGAGGAAATTGGTTGTCACTGTCATTGTTTTTATTTTTACGTAATATTACATATTATGTGCCCTACTCCAATTGCTTTTTGTTTTTTCAATTTAGTCTGCTTTTCAGTTGGTTTCCCTATTGCTTCTGCTGTGGTTAGCATCTTCTGTTAGGGCAGTAATTTATTTCTTTTAATCCGGATATAATGGCCAAATGGGTCATTTGGCTCAGTCAAATCCCATCGTTAAATCTTGGAGTTAAGCAAAAACGGGTTTTTAATCGAAAAGCTCATCAGCTTCATGCCCTCTACCTCATTTTTTGCATGGCCTTGTCCCGCTTGTACCTTCCCATGCCTGCTGGACCTAAGCACGCTGGAGCCCTGGCTCTCTGAAAGGGGACTAAATCCCACAGCACAGACACCCTTTCTGGGATCAGTCCTGGTCCTGGTCCGGACAGAGTGGCCAGCAGTTTGTCAAAAACAAACAAACAAATAAGTAAATAAACAAAACAAGCAAGAATCGGTCTGGTTCTGTAATTTTTTCTTTAAGGTTAATGCTCTTATCTTTGCATTCAAGCTGGAAGGTCGGCTCTGAACCATATTTCCTGCCCTTCTCCTTCCGATTTGGGCACCATCCCTGATGCCGCCTCCTGAGTTAGGAAAGGGATAGAACTTTTCCAGGGAGCAGAGGGGTGTCCTCCCTGTGCCTTCTCCATTCTTTCCCCCAAGCAAAGATTCTGGTCGCCCAGGAGGAGGAAACGCGCTCGAGTCCCCATCCCCCCGCCTCCTCCCCCAAATGAGGGCGGAGACGAAGGCAGCTTTTCTGTTTGGTAAACCTTTAATGCCAACTGAATTTAGCGCTGATAAAGCTCCCTTGGCCCTCGCCCCAAGGCAAAGCGCGAAGAGGTCCGGGAATTGCGTGGACTAGTGAGGGAGAGATGCTACCTACATGGCCACGGCGAAGTGGGTCCCCAAGATTGCGACCCCTCCCTCCTGGACTGGGCGTCTCCCCCTGAGCCTCTCCCGACCCCAACACCACCCTGTTTGGGGCTGGACAAACGGACAGGAGAGTGCAGGGTCGCGAGCTGGGGCCTCCGGTGTGGATCCCCGTCGCAAAGCCGCTCCGCGGGTCGAGGGGAGCCGGAGGAGGGAGGCGGAAGGCGGCGGCGGGGTGGGAGTGAGGGGGGACGCCGGCCGCCTCTCCGATTGGCTGCGCCGTCGCCCCCTCCAGCTCCGCGGCCCCTACCGAGCGCCGGGCAATTCCCTCCCGCGGCTTCCGAGTGGGGTCCCACAAAAGCGAAGGACGCGCAGGGGCGGGACCGACCTCCGCGCCCGCACCCGACTCCGGGCGCGCGGGGATAAAACCCCCGCGGCGGGCGCGGGAACCTCAGGCCCTGGGGCCTCCCGAGAGCGGAGAGGTGGGGCCGGCCCGACCCGCCGCCCGCGCCCCCGCCTCCTGGACGCCGCTGCGGGAGCGGGGCGCCCCGCGCGCGGGCACAGGGTGGCCAGAGCGCCGAGGCGGTACCTTCAGCGGTGCAATGAGAAAAGCCCGGGAGAACCAAGTGGAGCCCGCCGAGAAGATTGCTGCGCCCGGGGTTGCTGCTGCCGCCGCGGCTGCTTGAAACTCCCGAAGTTGACAGACAGCGAGAGGCTGCCTCCCGCCGGGAGCAAAAGGGAAAGGATCTCGGAAGGTGCCAGAGACGGACAAACGGACACGCAGACCTTTAGAAAACACCGCCGCCGCCGGCGTCCTATCTCCGCTACCCGTGAGGCTTCCCAGCTCTGTGAGTTGTTTTTCTAGACTGGGGTTTGCTAAGTATTTCCGTTCGTAGGATGCGTTTGTGTATTTTTGGTTTTTGTTAGAGGGAGTTAAGAACAGAACTGGATGCACCCCTTTAAAATCACTGAGTTTCTGATGGTGAGACAGTTATCTTGAGACAATGTGCCTGTAATGTCGTTAAGCAGAAATAACCTAGGGAAGAATGCATTTAGTAGTAAAAAGGCAGCATAGAGCTCCCTAGTATGAAATGAACCCCATTTCAAAAGTTATTGGAAAGTATAGCATGTCTCTTGAGGGTTAACCAGCGATAATTAACTTATACTACCCCCCCCCCCCCTTACATATTAATTATTTACCAGGTTGACTGGTGGGAGGCTGAACTGGAGAAAAAGACTCCTGGAAAAGACGCAGACGCGACCATAATGTCTTTACGGTTACGCACACTGCCCACCCTGCCTGGAGTTGTCAGACCTGGTTGCAGAGAGCTGCTGTGTTTGTTGGTGATCACAGTGACTGTGAGCCCTGGTGCCTCTGGGGTGTGCCCCACCGCTTGCATTTGTGCCACTGACATTGTCAGCTGCACCAACAAAAATCTGTCCAAGGTGCCCGGAAACCTTTTCAGACTGATTAAGAGACTGGATCTCAGCTATAACAGAATTGGGCTTCTGGATTCTGAGTGGATTCCAGTATCGTTTGTCAAGCTGAACACCCTAATTATTCGTCATAACAACATCACCAGCATTTCCACAGGCAGTTTTTCCACGACTCCAAATTTGAAGTGTCTTGACTTATCATCCAATAAGCTGAAGACAGTGAAAAGCGCAGTGTTCCAAGAGTTGAAGGTTCTGGAAGTGCTCCTGCTGTACAACAATCACATTTCCTATCTTGATCCTTCAGCGTTTGGAGGGCTCTCCCAATTGCAAAAACTCTACCTAAGTGGAAACTTTCTCACACAGTTTCCTATGGATTTGTATGTTGGAAGGTTCAAGCTGCCAGAACTGATGTTTTTAGATGTTTCTTATAACCGGATCCCTTCCATTCCAATGCATCATATAAATTTAGTGTCAGGAAAACAGCTAAGAGGCATCTACCTTCATGGAAATCCATTTGTCTGTGACTGTTCCCTATATTCATTGTTGATTTTTTGGTATCGTAGGCACTTTAGTTCAGTGATGGATTTTAAAAATGATTACACCTGTCGCCTGTGGTCTGACTCCAAGCACTCCCATCAGCTGCTTCTGCTCCAGGATAGCTTTATGAATTGCTCTGACAGTGTCATCAATGGTTCCTTCCGTGCACTTGGCTTTATTCATGAGGCTCAGGTCGGGGAAAGGCTGATTGTCCACTGTGACAGCAAGACTAGTAGTGGAAATACAGATTTCATCTGGGTTGGTCCAGATAACAGACTGTTGGAGCCAGATAAAGAAGTGGAAAACTTTCATGTGTTTCACAATGGAAGTCTGGTTATAGAAAATCCTCGTTTTGAGGATGCTGGAGTGTACTCCTGTATTGCAATGAATAGGCAACGCCTGTTAAATGAGACTGTGGATGTCACAATAAACGTGAGCAATTTCACTGTAAACAGATCCCATGCTCATGAGGCATTTAACACAGCTTTTACCACTCTTGCCGCCTGTGTGGCCAGTATCATTTTGGTACTCTTGTACCTCTATCTGACACCGTGTCCCTGCAAGTGTAAAACCAAGAGACAGAAAAATATGCTAAACCAAAGCAATGCCCATTCATCTATTCTCAGTCCTGGCCCTGCTAGTGATGCCTCCGCTGATGAACGGAAGGCAGGTGCAGGTAGAAGAGTGGTGTTTCTGGAGCCTCTGAAGGATGCTGCGGCAGGGCAGAATGGGAAAGTCAGGCGCTTTCCCAGTGAGGCAGTGATAGCGGAGGGCATCTTAAAGTCCACGAGGGTGAAATCCGACTCAGATTCAGTCAATTCAGTGTTCTCAGACACACCCTTTGTGGCTTCTTCTTAATTGTGTGCCTGTAATTGTATGATGTCATAATTTAATCTCTCCATATTTAACTGTGTGTGGTAGTCTCCAAAATAAATAGTAGGGCAGAAATTATGGGAAGATTTTTTTTTGTAGTTTGTTTGAGATCAAACCAAATAAACAGTCTATTAAATGCTTGATAGGAAATGAGGTAAAGCACTTTGGTTCCCCCAAGGTGTCAGAGAAAGATGGGGCTGTTTTCCAAAGTTTTAAGTTCTAGATAACTGTATCTTAATCTTTAGCATCACTGATAATGCCAAAGCCAGCCCAAAGGTGATATTATCCCTTTATGCAGGACTCTTAAAAAGAAAAAAATGAACTACAGATATTAGTGCTCTTTTAAAAAGTAGACTTTGCTAACTTATTAGGATCAAAGTTAACTTATTTTTTAAGGAAAAGCATTAGTGTCCTGCTTTATTTTTCAAAAGATATAAAGGAAGCATCAAGCAGCAATGATTTATAAAGCATAAAATTAGATTTGGGAAGTAGCCAAAATCATCATTTCAGACCAGAATGAACTAACTGCACTGATAGAATTTACTGGATAATGCCATATTTTATACAGTGTTAAGTACGTAGTGCAAGGAAGGTACATTTGTTTGACTGTCTTCTTTCCATTCTGTACATTCTCTCCATTCTGTATCCTTGTACAAAGGATCTCATTGAAAATTTAAAGTCGTCATTTGTTGACAAGAATATGTGTTAATACCAAAATGTCAGAGTAACTTCTTAAAACTTTGTTTTAGCAGACTAATATTTGTTCATATGCTTGTGTATATGTAAATCTTAAATTATATAATCTATTAAATAGACCCTGCTGTAGTGTGCTTTGGACATTTAAATTAATGTAAATATATGTATTCTGTGACTTGATGTTTTGTTTTATTTGGCTATTTAAAAGCATAAATCTAAGATGTTTTATGTGATATGATATGTGCTATTTTGTGTCAAACACCACCAATAGCAAATTTCTCTCCAAAATTCTTGTAGTTATAATACAGAATTTATCTTTTAGTGGGAGAAAATGCTTTAATGTGTTCTAGACCAATTTATGCTTTCTGTATCACATTTTACTCTGATATCATTATGCACTTCAATCAGGAGGATACTCGGATTTCAATTTTGCTACAGATGAGAGCCTGGGAGATCTCCTCATTATTTCCATCTCTGCTTTGAGGTAATCAAGTACCTTCTCTAGACCAAGGTTTTCTCAGCTGTAAAATGAAGGTGTTGGACCAAATGATGTTTAAGTTTTCTTCCCACATTGAAATCTCTGATTTCCTGGTGGTCTTAGCTCCAACCTATGCTCACACTGGCTTTCTGAAACTGGGATCTCTGAAAATGGATGGATTAAACTAGACTAGCATAGCACTGTAAACTGGGAGGGACAATTCTGGATCATCAAGTCCAGTTCCTTCCCTTTTCTCAGGCCTGACTGGGGCCCAGAGAGGGTCATACGTGATCTAAGCTAGAACTATGAACTAGTGTCAGGGGTGGAAGAGCTTCAGCACTTCCATAGCAATGGTAAAAGGGTCAAATGAATGGGAACTGGGGATATAGCTTAGTTTGTAGAGTGTCTGCCTCACATGTACAAGGTCCGGGGTTCAATCCCTAGCACCACAAAAAAAAAAAAAGAAAAGAAAATGGGAGACATATATCATATGTGGGGAGAGCTAACCCTTGAACCTAGGAAATAAGTGTTGCATTTGGCAGGGAAATATCGGCAGTATTAGAGCTCAATGGCTGATCCTAATACTAACACCAGTTTAAAGTTAAGGATGAGCTGAGATAGAAATCAAAACACTTAAAATCAAAATGAGAAAACAAAAGATCCTGAATACTGAAAACAAAGCTATGTTTTGAGTTAAAATAGGAAGATATAGTGATAAAAAACCTTGGAACTGAATGTTATGTTGTGGAATTATTAGTTTTTAGGTGTATCAGTTATTTTTTAGCAGGAGCCTGATCTCATGTATTTAAAATATAGGAACAAAATTAATATATGCTTTATCAATTTGTCTCACTCAAACCTTTCATGTAACTTTTCTTCCAAGTACTAATCTGGATTTATGTAACTGGGTTGTTCTTTAAGCCGCTCAGTATTGTTCATGTTGTAGGTTCCCCAATAAGGGAAATGAAGCAACAATCAGAGAAGTGAAGTTTTCCCAGGCTTAGCATATTTTTTTCACTACAATGAAGATGCTGGGTCCACTATTTTCTGTATGTTTATAACTATAATTTATTGCGAGCTAAATTTTTAAAATTCACCGTTAAGATTTATAGTCTGAAAGAATGGCCTAAAAGATTTTCTTATTTATACTTAAATTCTGTATTAGTCCTCATTGCTGGATTAAATACATTTTAGCATATTTATTTTTAACTTTAATTGTTTGAATTATTTGCACAGAATGGTTTTTATTTTTCTAAATAAACATTTTTTCTAAGATGTTAATCAGAAAGGGACATAGGTGAAACTTTTGGGGGTGGAAACATAAGAGGAACAGGCAGACACTGTCCAAATTTCAGAACGACATTCGATTATCAATCACCCTTCTATGCACTGGTTAAACAGAATATACCCTGAGCATCCTTCATCATCACAGGTTTTCCTTTACCATAACTGCTGCCTGATTATGGCCACCTTTCAGTGTCATCTAGTTTATGGGGTGATTAGCAATAGGTCCCAAAACAGCATTCTCAGTAGAATCTCAGGGGAAAATGTAATAAACAAGAGTTTCCAGCAGCTACCCCTTCACACACTCCTACCAGAGACTCTGCTTCAGGGAGTTTGAGATACTATGTGCCTATTGTATTATTTTTT